ATACCGTGTACCTATATCCCAAGGATCGTGAGATTGACATTTTTCCAAACATTCTCATTCAGTTTTGTAATTGTGAAGTGTAGTGTTATATTTCTTACGTAAATCTTCTTCTGTCAAAGTCGAAAATACTGATTTACTAATTAAAGAAGGAAAATGTAAACCAAACATTTTATCTTGTTTAGTTTTGTACACTTTCTCCCAAATCGCATTTACGTTATTTGTTTGTATGGCTATACCTATACGTAATCGCAATTGCACATTGTTACAATTTCTGTATTTAACGCCAAAACATTCGGTACTATCAAATATTGGATCGACAAGAATTGGTGCGGCGTTTTCGTAATTTACTGCAAAATATTGCATTTTTAAATAATTCTCTAATAAAAGGTTTTCTATTGTTATGAACGCGGTTTGACTATTGTAAAAAATAACCAACACCGATGTAGTGCTATTTAAAAAAAAATTAGACATGTTCATTTCGTAAGTTTTGTTCATATCTGAATTTGAAGAATTATTAAATAAATCTATTTCTTGATTATTTAATTTTTTACTTCCATATCCAATATATGATTGATGCGGCGTTGTCATAGATCGTTTTGTTATATTTTCATATATTTTAGCAAATTTTTCATGTAATCGCCATATTTGCTGTTGATGTTGAACGCGTTCCAGATTTATTTGAGACTCTTTATAAAACCATATTTGACGTTTTTCAGCGTGTAAAAGATTTTGTAATTTATTTATTTCAATATCTTTTGTTTGACACATAATTTTTAAATTATTTATATGATTTTCGCAAAATATTAAACGATTCATAGCGTCAAATGTAATTTTTTCAATTTTATTTTTTAATATTAAAATTTCATTATTTAGTTTACCATTCACTGACAATTCACTTATTGTGTTTTTCGAAAAAGCCATATTACTGAAGCAAAATATGGTAAACTGTACACAATCAACAATTCTACACTACTGTTACTAACGAAAACGAACCCGGAAGTTATATAACATACCTAACGTTCTTTCTTTTTTTTTTACAAAATGAATTTAAGAATAATTATTAATTTTGACAGTTTTACTTGTACCATATGTCTTGTTAACAAATTTTAAAAATATTATAACTAGGTTTCATTATTCAAAGATTTCAAACTGTATACCGATTGTCAATTGTAATAATTTTAAAAAAATTACTCTTCTTTTTTCTTAATTTTCCTCCAATACGTACAATATTTTTGATTTGGAATTTGTATTCCGACTAAACGTCATCCGTTATTTCCAAAAAAGTAATGTTATTTTCATTCTTTCTATCAATTGTGATATTGTCTTTGTAAAATTGTATTCCTTAAAATACACGTTATATTTTTAATAAATTTTTGATTTTTCACATCATTTACATCACAAAGATCCATAGCGTTAAAATTTATATAACCGCATACCGAATTACAAGTAGAACACGTGATAAATAATTTGTTATTACTAGACGAGTTACGTTGTTGATTGTTGGATACCTATTATAGGTATATTATAGGTAACCTATACATAATAACAAATTTGAACCTGTTGATTCACGATCATAAGACACAATTTCTCCAATACTAACGTTTGACCGTAAAATAGACCTGTTTTTCAAATTCAAAACTCTTAAACTGGGCATTGGTGAAATTGTCAAAAGCGTATTGCCTTTTAAAAATAAGTTTTTATTGTTCGATAAATTTAATGTTTTTAATTTCGACAAATTTGAAAACGTCGTTGTGTTTATATAATCTATAATGTTATTGGATAAATCGATATATTCTATAGAGTTTTTACAAAAAAAAACCATATCATCTAAACTTTTAAAAAAAACACTATTTGTAATTGTCAATGATTTTATTCGACTACCGGTGTTGAACATATTACGATTTAATTTCCATTCCGGATATTTTACGTACTGGACATCGAACAGATCATAATTATAAATAATCGTATTGTTCAGATTTATTGTAGACTCTACACATGTTAAAATATCACTTTGAGACGTACAATTTGGAATTATTTGATTATTTGACGATTTTGATGAATTTAATTTTTCAGAACAAACAGGCATATCTAGAAGTCCTTTGATGACAGAGTAGTGATGCGCAAATAATAAACAAAAATACAACCAAAACGATGAGTTGATTGTCATATCTTTTAGAATTAAAAACAATTAAATTTAATTAAAAATATGATTAAATAAAAGATGTTATAACTTATTATATCACTTATACATACAAGTTTTTAATTTTATTGCATCTACTTTTATATATATAATATCTGAAATAAAATAATAATAGTCACGCCCATATTTATGTTTTTTCTTTTTTTTGCATTTAATTTAATCATACTATCATTGTTTTGGAAAAAAATATTTTATTACGTTCACTCATCATGTCGTTCTGCGAACCAAAATTCTGACGGTAATAACGTCTCGGTTTTTAATTTTTTTAAATATTTTAAATTTTTAAAATTATATGTTTTTGAATTATCTGTTAAAAACTTAAAATTTTCATATTGAGGTTGATCGGGGATTTCTAATATAAGTCGAGTAATAATGTGTTGATTTTGTTCTTCTTGAATTACAGACGGAACGCTTTGAGTTGTATTTACAGACGTTAAAAAATCCGATAATATCATATTATTATGTAACCGCGTTGTTGTAGGCATTTGTTGATCCGATTGTGTATTTTCTTTTACACTTATTGCCGCTTCAAATCGTACCGTTTTGATATTAGGTTTTTCGTAATTATTACTACCAAGAACGATATTATTTAAACTACGGTTTTTTATATCATTTACAATAATATTATTCAATGGCGACGTTTGTAATTGTTTTTTAGATGTATTTGAAAACCGATTGTCAATGTTAAAATTGGTATAATTATTTTTACAACTAGTATTATTAATAGTATTAGCAGTAGTAGTAGTAGTAGTAGTAGTAGTAGTAGTAGTAGTAGTAGTAGTAGTAGTAGTAGTAGTAGTAGTAGTAGTAGCAGTAGTAGTAGTAGAAGTATTAATATTAATAGTAAAATCAGTCATATCGACGTCTCGATTGGACAAATCTATAAAAGATTTGGGAATTCTTAACGTAGGAGGATTAACTACAGGTATTGGTGTTGTTTTTTTTGGTAAATTGTTCCCAATCGTCTTCGAATTTACCAATTGATTAGCTGCTACTGCTGCTGGTTGTATTTCTAAGTCTGGATGTAATTCGAATTTGAAGTAGTTTCACTCCTGACAATGACAACGTTGTTGGTTGAATCGGTGTATAGACAAAAATGATTATACTATTTTGAAACTCTATTTGGAAATTGTATTTATTTATTTTAACATATTATATAAACCATAGACATCATAGATTTGTATTTATATGCGTGCTGTACATTAACATGACCGGTAAACTTCCGACTTTTTGTGCCAATTTCACGATTTAAAATTAAAGTCTTGACCGGTTTTAATGTCGGTATCGTTGGAGTTATTTTTAATACCACATTATTAATCTCGTAAAATTGATCAGTATTTTTACAACGATCTTGGTTCCTTTTCAAAAAACAAGACATATTTTGGAAATATGAGGTACAGGCGTACAGCTGATTGTTTAAACCTATATAAAGATAATACAAAACAAAATTATATCAATATAAATATATTAAATATAATAAACTCGTTATACGTTATTCTTTACAATTATTAAATATATACAAAGTTATTGTTTTGTTTTCACGATAATACATTAGTTTTCTCGATAATACATTAGTTTATATACAATAATATTATTTTTTCTAAGCGATTTGTATTTAATTTTGTTCAAATAGTTTAACAATCTCTTTGTTTTCAACGTCTCCGTCATCCCTTTTTTTGCGTTTTTTGTTTAAATAATCTTGTTCGAAAAACGCGGACGCTAATAATTTAAAATTATTAAATATACGCGTATTTATAGCTTTTTTTACGGTATCACTTGTGTTGTTAAACAGATATTCGTGATCGTTTGCCATTTTGTAAATCTTGTTGAATATTTCGTCCAAAGCTAGTGGATATTCATAATCATACATATTCATAACTAAATTTTCATCGTAAGCAGAAAATTCATATTTAGCTTTTCGAGCTCCTGTACGCATATTATATACGTCTCAGATTAAGACGACCATGGCTTTTCTTAAATCTTTATATTTTGCGATATCGAATAAGGCACCATTCATACACAAATGTAATGGTTGTAAACGACCTTCCGTAGTGTATAAGATAGAACGAGTATCTAAAAATGCACAACAATGCGTATTTATAGAAAATTCCGATAGATACTTTAGGCAAAATAGATTTTGCATTCGGTCGAAACAATCCAGACAATGTAAACAATTTACTGTCTGTCCATTCACGTTTTCTACTGCAAAAAAATACATTCACGTTGTCGATAATCAATTTTTTTGGTAATACAGTTGCATGTCCTGGTTGCGTTTCGTCAAAACATTTAAAGTATAACATTATAAATTGACATATTTTACACTATATACAATAACATTATAAATTTACATATTTTACACTATATATAATAACAATATAAATTGACATATTTTACACTACCTATATATAATAACAATATAAATTGACATATTTTACACTAGGTATATAAATGTACTATAAATCAAATCAAAATACAAAATTTAACATTCTGTAATAGTTTAGTACTAATACCTAATAAAAAAACTTACAAAATTAGGCATTTCTTCTTCTATGACCTTACAATATCCTAACATTCTTGATCTTTTAGAAATTCCAGATCATGAAAATACCAAACGGTGAGAGGGGTTTTAATAAATCCGGGACTGAATGTAGAAAAACCTCATAAATACTCGGTACGCGTAGATTATCTTTCTGTAGTTATTTAACCTCTTGTTCTTTCCTACTATCATTACGAATATTAATATTAGTATTGTCGTATTTATATACTACCTACATTTTTGTAGAACGTTTACTTGAAAAAAATGCAAAATTTTACTAATCACGAACAACGACAAATGACACCAACTAATAGAAATTTCATAACTCAACAACAACAGCAACAACAAGATGGTTCTCGATCGTCTCACGATTTATTCGTGTCGCCACCGATTAAACCTCCCAATTATGAATCTACAAATAGTAAAGGTAAAAAAATGTTGGCTTCTATAGGCTATAAAGCGGGTGATGAATTCGATGATGCGGATTTCGACAGTGACAATTATGGAGAAAATCGGGCCATGGAAGGTATAACTACTATAGACACTGCAGCGGTAAAAGATTTATTTACAGAAGAATATTACAAAGATTTCGATACGTTTAAAAAAATGAATTTAACAGATTCTGATAATCTAGACGAATTTTATTCATTTGCCAGTTCGTTGAGCGAAATGCCAGCTATGGCTAGTGCAATGTTTTTGATGATGTATCGTGCTAAATATCCAAATTTATTTGAAAAATATGCCAGTCTCGAGTCGTATTTCTTATTTGTCATTATAAGTATAACTAATAACGGTTTTGAAAATTTTAAAAGATATTTGGGATCCAAAAATCCAACAGTAAACAATTTCATACCTTTACGAAAAAAACAATTGTCAAAATTTGCGCAAATGAGAAACAATAGAAAACGATCCATTGATGAATCCCAATTGAGCGACATTAACCAAAATAATCAATCCATTACGAGTGAAAATCATAACACTCCGAGGCATCCCATGTTGTACACAACGTACTATAATCAGAAACGAATATTATTCCATATCGGTGATATGGCAAAGTATTTATTACCGTTAGATTTTTCCATATCTGAAGCTCAGCCGAGTTTAAGTACCATTACAATATATTTAAAAACGAATAAAAATAAAGAAGTTCCGGGTGCGGAAGTACGATTTGGTGTACCGGTATTGTGTCGTCTGAACAAACGAAATATTGTAAACTATGTATATAACTTCGTCGATAAAGCAGAAATGATTTTAGAATTTGTAACTAAATGTTTTGGAACTCAATCGAAACATATAAACACTTCGATCAAAATAAATCAAAATTACAATATGTTAACAGATATAAACCGTACTACTGTACTAGTAAAAATGAATTTCCGGCAGAATCAATGTACGCGATCATACCAATGTTTTCATTTTATAATATGTTGAATGTCAAATTAGTGGTGGGTCGCTGTTTCGCAGAAAATATATTTTAAATATATTTAAACAATTATTAACAATTAATATTGTATTTTTTTAAAAGTTTTACGTAACCGTATCCTTTAGGCGGACGATCCAACCATTTGAAAAAATATTTTTTTATTATAAACGTATAGAAATCACAGGTCAAACATTTTAGCGGTTTGTAAAATGTTAAAGGTCTAATATTGTCATCGGTATATTTGTTTTCATGTCTATTAATTAAAAGTTGTACATTGTATTTGAACACGTAGACACTGCATGTATCGACTGTTGTAAATCTGTTGTTTATCTGCCGTTTACTTTTTAGATTCTGAGCGGAGCGATGAATGTATTGGTTTTACAATGATGTGTGTTTTTATATTTTTATATTTTTATATTTTAGATTCTGAGCGGAGCGATGAATGTATTGGTTTTACAATATGTATGTTTTTATATTTTTATTTATATTTTTATATTTTTATATTTTTGTGTCTGTCATCACGTTTTAGGACAGTAAAAGTGCTTGGATTTTCTTCATCAGTAGCTTTTCTGATAGGAAAGTGAATCTAGTTGGTACTTTGGGGGGTCAAAAGTATAAATTTCCCAGTAGTTTTCACAAGCGCCGGGAAAAACAACATAAAAATTAAGAAAAAACGGGAATTTTAACGCAAAATTGGTTTTCCAAAAAATCGATTTTGGTTATTGGTGTAACTCTAAAACAAATGAACGTATATACATGAAATTTTCACTGGTTGTTAATATTTGCATTTTCTATACACGATAACATTTTCAAAATATTTTGATTTATTTTGAACTGTTTAGGGACATTTTTATTTTCATTCAAAAACGAATAACTGTAGATACATGAAAATTTCACTGAATTTTTATATTAGCATTTCCTATACACCATACAGTTTTGAAAATATTTTGACTCTTTTTGAGCTGTTTATGGACATTTACAGCTTTCAATTTTTATTCTGTTATAATTATCTGTTGGGCCAAAAAGTGTAAAAATTTAATACAAGGCTCCTGATATATTGTTACAATATCAATTGAAAAATATTAAAAATACATAGGCACGATTTTTTTTTATAAGCATTTAAAGTTGGAATTTTGACAAAATTTATCAAAATCTCGAAAATTACCAATCGTTGGAATTAAAAAATTATAAAATGTTCAGTTTTTATAACTAAGAGTTGAAAATTTAAAACAAAGATTCTCTTAAATAATTCATACTGTAACCAAAAAATCTAAAAAATATATAAACACACTTATTTTTTACAGACATTTTAATTTCAAATTTAGACAAAATTTCATATTTAAACCAAAAATTACGATTTTAGTTATTTTGTTGTGATTGAATAATATTATTCGTGGGTACTTGAAACTTCTAAAGTGTACTATTATATATCAATGACAGTATCACGGTTTTTGTTGATGTATAACGCGTTACCAGTACCTAATGGATATTGTGATATGATTAATTTGGAATTTATTATAGGTACCTACCTATTATAGGTCAATTTTTTGTTTAATACCATAGATATGTATATAATGTGTCTTATACATAGACTGACATACCGTCTCCGCTCAGAATCGTTTTTCTTATACAATGATATTATATCGTTGAATTCAAATTTAATATCATCCATTATACAGTGACCCACTTGTAACCTACTGTACAGCAGAGCGACACCCACTTGCCCACCTTTTTTTATATTTTTTTTTGTGTCTGTCATCACGTTTTGGGACAGTAAAAAAGCTTAGATTTTCTTCAATAGTACCTTTTCTGATAGGAAAGTGAATCTAGTTGGTACTTTGGGGGGTCAAAAGTAAACATTTTCCAGTAGTTTTCACAAGCGCCGGGAAAAACAACATAAACATTAAGGAAAAACGGGAATTTTTACGCAAAATTAGTTTTCCAAAAAATCGATTTTGGTTTTTGGTGTAACTCTAAAACAAATGAACGTATATACATGAAATTTTCACTGGTTGTTTATAATTGCATTTTCTATACACGATAACATTTTCAAAATATTTTGATTTATTTTGAACTGTTTAGGGACATTTTCATTTTCCATTTTTTTTTAGTTTTTTTTCTAGAAATATCAATAAAATTTTATTTGTTGGTTGCGAAAGCTTGAAAATTTAATAGAAGGCTCCTATCGAAAATTATCAATCATTGTAATTAATAAATTATAAAATGTTCAGTTTTTATAGCTAAGGATTGCAAATTCAACACAAAGGTTCTCGTAAATAGTTCATACTGTAACCAAAAAATCTAAAAAATATATGAACACAGTTATTTTTTACAGACATTTTAAATTCAAATTTGGACGAAATTACATATTAAAAAACCAAAATAACTATTTTAGTTATTTTGTTGTGATTGAATAATATTATTCGTGGATACTTGAAACTTCTAAAGTGTACTATTATATATCTATGATAGTATCACGGTTTTTGTTGATGTATAACGCGTTATAAATACCTAATGGATATTTTGATATGATTAATTTTGGAATTTATTTATAGGTCAAATTTTGGTTTAGTACCATAGATATGTATAATGTATATAATATGTCTTATACCTAGACTGACATACTGTCTCCGCTCAGAATCGTTTTTCTTATAGAATGATATTATATCGTTGAATTCAAATTTAATATCATCCATTATACAGTGACTCACTTGTAACCTACTGTACAGCAGAGCGACACCCACTTGCCCACCTTTTTTTTTACAAACAATTTTTCTAAATTTGTAAAATGAAGGTCGGTTGGTAAATATTTGTATAAAAATGGATATATTATTCTTCCATTTTCTGATGTATTACAACGCCCGATAAAATCACACTCACAATCTCTAATGTAAATGTTTGAGAAATCATCTATATTAACCAAATTTGTCATCATCGATGTCGATATTGATGTATAAAATTGCAAAGCTGTATATATTTGTTGAGAATTAAATGATTCCACGTATAACCATAATACCGTAACAGTACGGTAGGAATCTAATTTATAAAAATATTTATAAGGTACAGAAGTGTGTACAATATTTTGTCGACACTTTAAAATAATACATATTTCAATATTTTTTGGAAAATTATCAATTCTGCCAATTAACCATGAAGCACATTCATTTATAAAATATCTTTTCAATTCTAAACAATCATTGATTTTTGTACGAGGGTGAGGAATACTTTTTAACAAAACTTTAATACGTTCAGCATCAGTGCCGCAACTAGGTTTTGTGGGGCCCTGGTGCAAAAAATGTTTTGGGGCCCCTATAACAGGCGCATATAAAAGGGGGGTTCTAGGGGTTCAACCCCCCCCCCCCCCCCCCCCGAAATTTTAGGAAATAAGTTTTATTATTTTTTAGTTAAAAATTTTTGAAAATGTACAAGCAAAACCCCCCTAAAAATTTTTTTTTGTGTACGCGCCTGCCCTATAACATACCCGTACCTGTATAATATAGGTATTCATAGATAAATCTTTGTTTACACTATTGTAAATTGTTTTTACATACTAGATGGCTCCTAGGAATCAGGCATCAGCCTTTATAACTGAAACTGAACCTGTTTTTGTAACCTTGTGATTTGAATACTCTATTTACAATTAGTTTATTTACATTATTCAAATGGTCCTCATTTATTAGGTACACTATTGCACCCAGTCAAGTAATTAAAAAATTGAATACAAACATAATTTAATAATAATAATACCTTATATTTTTTATTTTATTATATTACCATATTATTTACAAAAATTTTTTTTCTTGCCTTTTGATTAGCAAAATTTGGTTACCAACTTACCAAACCACCTTTATGAATATAAAATAAGACAACAACGTACAACAATATACGTAGATTATAATAAACACTCAAATAAGCAATACCAAAAATTATTAATATCGTAATGTAAGATCGTCGTATACTATAATATGTACAGGAAATGAGAATTTAAGTTTTTTATTTTTTTACCTTATAGCTTTTATTTTTTACCACCTACTCTCAAATTTACACTTAAGACTTTTATAAATTTCGGGGCCCCAATGTATTACGAACTGAGGCCCCTTGGTGGTGCTGTGCACCCCCGGTCCCCCCGCTAGTTGCGGCACTGTTCAGCATGTGGTTTTATAAAAGAAATCCGTTTATTATATTCTTCGACGAAATCCGATCTCAATTCATAAAAGTTGGAGATTTTTTCTAATTTATTTATTTAAAAGAAAATGAATTAAAATCCAATCCGTTCCTATTCAAAAACTAATACAACATTGGTAATACTTTTACGTTTACAAATATATTTATATAGATATTTTTTTTTTGTGTACATTATAATCACAATAATTTTGTGTCAGTAATGAACCATTCTCACATTCACGGCATAAATAATTTTAAACATGTCTGTATTGTTCGACTCATATGCGTGACATAAAATTTTCAAAACTATTATCAAAAAAAGGTGGGTAGGTGGATGTCGCTCTGCTGTACAGTAGGTTACAAGTGGGTCACTGTATAATGGATGCTTTTAAATTTGAATTCAATGATACAATATCATTGTATAAGAAAAACGATTATGAGCGAAGACGGTATGTCAGTCTAGGTTTAAGACAAATTATATACATATCTATGGTATTAAAAAAAAAATTGACCTATAATAAATTCCAAATTAATCATATCACATTATCACAATATCCATTAGGTACTTATAACACGTTATACATCAACATCAATAACAATCCCTGATACTATCATAGATATATAATAATACACTTTAGAAATTTCAAGTAGGTACCCACAAATAATATTATATAATCACAACAAAATAACTAGGTGTTTTAATATGTAATTTCGTCCAAATTTGAACATAAAATGACTATAAAAATAAACTGTGATTGTATATTTTTTTAGATTTTTCGGTAAGAGAATTAACTACTTACGTGGAATCTTGTTTTAAATTTTCAATACTTAACTATAAAAACTGAACAATTTATAATTTATTAATTACGATGATTAATAATTTTCAAGATTTTGATAAATTTTGTCAAAATGCGATCTTTAAATGCTTATAAAAAAAATTGTGCCTATGTATTTTTAATATTTTTCAATTGCTATTGTAACAATATATCAGGAGCCTTGTATTAATTTTTCACACTTTTTGGCCCAACAGATAAAACTTTATTAATATTTATAGAAAAAAAAAAACTAAAAAAATTGAAAAATGAATGATGGTGAATGATGGTGTATAGGAAATGCTAATATAAACATTCAGTGAAATTTTCATGTATCTACAGTTATTCGGTTTTGAATTACAACAAAATAAGGAAATCGCTACATGAGAAATCAAGTGAATATCCAATGTTGTAAAAATTTGAATTTCAAACGCTCATAAAAAAATTTGACTTTCCGGTAGAGATTTTTTTATTGATAAAGGTAGACAAACTTATGAGTAATCTTGTATTACATTTTCAAATCTTAGATTTAAAAAGAAAACATTTTACGAATTCTTAACTCAAAATAATTTTCTAATTTTCGTGATTTTTCCATATTTTGTCAATTTTTGAACTTTAAATGCTTATAAAAAAAAACTGTGACTAACGATTTTTAATATTTTTCATCTGCCTTTGAAAAAATATACTAGGAGCCTTCTATTAAATTTTCAAGTTTTTTTAACCAACAAATAAAATTTTATTGATATTTCTAGAAATTAAACTAAAAAAAAATGAAAAATGAAAATGTCCTTAAACTGTTCAAAATAAATCAAAATATTTTGAAAATGTTATCGTGTATAGAAAATGCAAATATAAACAACCACTGAAAATTTCATGTATCAACGGTCATTAGTTTTAAAGATACACCAAAAACCAAATTCAATTTTCTGAAAAATCGATTTTGCGTAAAAATTCCTGTTTTTCCTTAATTTTTCTTTTGTTTTTCCCGGCGCTTTTGAAAAGTACTGGGAAATTTAAATTTTGACCTCCCCAATGCACCAACGATATTCACTTTCCAATCGAACAAGATACTGAAGTCGAAAATCGAAACATTATTTTGACTACTTATCGTGTACACAGACACAAAAAAAATTTAAAAAAAAATTTAAAAAAAAAACACACATCATTGTAAAATCAATACATTCATCGTTTCACTCAGAATTTAATATAATTACAACAATAAACGCCGTAAACATTTTGCGAAAACATTTGCCATAATTTTTATTCAATACGGTTGATGATAGTGATTAGCTTCATATTTAGTAAATAAATTAGAAATTACTATATAATATGTAGAATAATAATATGTATAATAGAAACTTCTATAGTAATTAAATATTAACATTAGTTTTGTTAGCGAAGACAAATTTGGATAGTGTAACAAGCTATGGCGCTGTTCGAACCCGTCATCACATCATAATATATCGGTTGTAAAACGTCGCGCGTCGCGTCTTGTTACGCTGTCCCAACCCGTCAGTACGTCGTAAAATATATGTATACATACTAATATATATAACAAACAAATATTTAGATAAAAAAACAACATATTTTTACAGACGATATAATATGCATGAAACTATCGTCAGATCACGTATTTATTTATTTATTTATTTATGAAACGGGACAAGCTTAAGACAAATGTTGAAATTAATCTTAAAACTAAAGTATGTACAGTAAAAATATAAGAAATTAAAATTAACAGGGTAATAACATTACCTTAGGACTGGTTTAGTCCCCCAATAGAAACGAAGGATCCTCGTTCGCTAGTCGCATCATGCGTGACATAGGACAGTTTCGCAAATAATTCACAGAACAAAAGGGAATATGGAATGGGAAAACACTACGAGAATTAAAAACTGGGATTCTAAAATTAAATTTGTTTAAAAGAACAGGTGAGTCAATTTGACCATTAATTAGTTTTGCCAAAAATGATAGGTTTGTTTGAACTCTCCTATCATCAGCCAGCGTGGTCAAGCCTAGGTGGCAAAGTACTGGATTATAGTCATGAGGCGGACAATCAATTGATAACCTGTAAGATGCACTACACTTCAGAAACTTGCGTTGAATTCGTTCTGGTTGGTAGCTGTCGCTCATAGTTGCTGGGCACCAAATTACAGCATCATACTCTAGTATAGAACGAACAAATGAGCAAAAAAGTACTTTCAAGGAACTAGACAGCTTGAAGTCCATAGAAATTCTGAGGATGTACCCAAGCATTTTCATGGCTTTACAAGAAATTATGTTTAAGTGAGCATTAAACTTAAGACATCGATCAAATGTTATACCCAATTCTTGTACGGTTTAATTATTTAGCATCCATTATACAGTGACCCACTTGTAACTTACTGTACAGCAGAGCGACATCCACTTACCCACCTTTTTTTATATTATAATACCATATATAAATATTGTAAATATATTATATAATATAATGTAACGTTATGTATAATTATGTATAATTTAACGTTATGATGTGCTCACGTAATGTGTTGGTCTTAGGGATATTGGTGGGTGGAAATAAATTACGAGCTGTTGATATATTGTATTCGGATCCGGACCGTAGCGCAGAGTTGGTTAACGTACCATACAAAGAACGCTTACAAGCGGTACATAGACTTTTGGAAAATAACTCGAAATGGGAAATCGTTACGGTAGAAAATAATAATTATACAAACAGTTGTCTTGAAATTCCAGATATGTACGCGACGGATAAGAGTAAAATAAACAAACGGTATTTATTCATTAAGCCGGGACAAACTGTAGCAGCAGTCGGTTTAGACCGTCAAAACATTTTGATCGCGTATAAACGTGAAGACGGTAGTCTAGAGCAGAGGTTCCCAACCTTTTTTGACTCGCGGCACCCTTGGACATTTTCTAAAAATCCGGAGGCACCCTATGCTCTATAGTCTATAGTCTATAGTAGTCTGGCAGTGGTTTTCAACCTTTTTCACATTGTGGCACACTTCATCTCTTACAAAATTTTCGCGGCACACCAATTCATATAAATATATAATTATAATACGTGAAGCATATGATGAAAAAATGTGATAGCAGAAATATTTATTTTATATCATAATATTGTAATACAAGGAAATAAAAATACATCGATTAATGAGATATTTGTGCTGTTGCGAAACGGGCATACTATAATATTAAATATAGCCGCCAGTTGCTCGCAGTGAGTGGGGGAACTTTGGGCGGCAATAATTCATTTGGATGCGCGAGCAAGAAGTATTATATATTTATACGTATTAATGATTTAGCCTGTTTTGTTACTTATCGGTTTTCACCGATTATAGATAATAACACTGGTAAATACAAAATTATAAAACTAGGTATTAATAGATTTATCGCGGCACACTCCAAGGGTGCTCGCGGCACACCAGTGTGCCGCGGCACACCGGTTGAAAACCACTGGTCTAGAGTATAAAACAAAAATTACAAACAGCGGGCCTGCTAGTGCTTTCTTGTTAACCGAACCGATGAGACTTTATGACGCCGACGATGTGACCGTTTTGGATAGCGATGGTAAACAAATTTTTGTACATGAAATGCCAACAAACGCGGATATAAAAATGTTCAAATATTATGCAACTGTAGAGTTTCGAGACAATTCTAAATTAGGAGCGCAAATATTTGACTGTCAAGTTAGCGACGTGTGCGAATACAAATTACCACTGTTCCGAGACACTAATTCGATAAAGGGAATGAACGCGACAAAAATATTTGAGAAATACGTGACCGACGAAAAATCCTTCCCACAATTAACAAAATTATTGTAACGTTTCCCGCAGAAAAAAGAGCAGAACTGTGAAAAATAGTACAGCCTTCTGCTAGAATCAATGACATAGATTTAAATTACAAATAATAAATGTGAAAAAAAAATAATTGAGATGTATACATGTTTGTTTTATAAAGAATAAAAGAAACGATATTATGACAATATTTTTTATGAGATTTTTTTTTTTAATACTGTTCCTCGCAAGTGTCGTTGAGGTTATGTTATGTCGAATGCGTGTGATATTTTTTTTTTTAACACTTTTTTTTTCAATTGTAAACATTCCCACGATTTGCGATCTGGTTAGCAACACGCTTACCGTTTATATAAATATATATACATACTTGTCACAAAAAATCATAAATTAAATATTTTTTTGTAATTGTTTAATACAGATGGTCTTAACGTTTTATTTAAATACTCTTATGATAATATTATACGATGCTACAATGTCTAGAATACATTAATCATCTGGGCTGTGACGGGTCATTAAATAACAAATGTCGTCGACTTAAATTTAAAAAAAAAACCAAATGCGCACATTATTACGATAACTACAACAATCGGATGCACTACAATAATAAACACAACTTGCATGTACATTTCTTTTCTACACAACATTTGTCTAAATCATTTTTTGACATGACATGACGATCCGACCCATCGACAACAATAATCGCAACATAACCATTTTGTATTTACATGATCGACATACTTTTTGCTACAATATAAACATAGGTATGTTAACGGATAAGAATTTTCAACGATTAAGTTTTTTAAAAAAACCCTATAGGTATGCCGATGGTTTGAATTTATTGTTAAATTGTTTTGCGGTAAACTTCATAATATCTAATTTAATAATCATAATCATTATTTGTACATAATACAAAATATAAACGCCACAATTGTAATTGTCGATTTGAATTGGTATTTGTAATGTTCGATCGATCGATTGTAAATTCAAAATTGGCAAACCGTTCGACTGCAAGAAAAATCCTTTTCCAAATTTACAAGTATGAGAGACTACTGTCATGACGGTATTGAATAATTGTTCGTTCTTGCTGTATTTTGGATCCATAATTACACATGTTAAAGTTTTAAAATTTATGAAAGCCACCAACCAGTGAATTTGTTCAATATTAATAGGTATACCTAATACTGTATTGGTTTCTATTGTAAACATATCGAAACTACTCAATGGTTTTGGAACCATTTGCAAGACCAGTTCCAAAACTCTTGCGGAAAAAGCCGATACAAGTCCACAAGACAAACTCACAAAAGATAAATTTTTATAATTTGGGTCTTTTTCTGAAATTTTTATTATCATATCTATACACGCGTCGATAACGTAATTATTCAACCAATTATTATTTGATAACGTGTCAAAATCTTCGATAGTTAAATGTTTTACAAGACACGGGTTTTCAGGCGGCGTTTCTTGTAAAAAATCTTTGCAATCACCATACACCGATACTGTATATTTTTTTTGAACGGGCATATTAATATTTTTAAAATAATTTACAATTTTAGGGAGACCGTTATGCGCGTAAACAGGAATTTTAGCAAACATTTTTGTGTCGAATGGTTTAGAATATAAAATGGTTTGCGAGATTGAACGTTTTGACAATTGTTTAGGTAATAATTCAATTATGTGTGATGACGGATTATATGATATAAATGGCATAAATGGCATAAAAAACAAATAAACCACCGTGGTTATACATGAAATTATTACAAATATTAATAATAATAAATTTCCTTGTTGAACCATGATAGAATTTTTTTTTGCTTATCGAAAAAAAAAAAATTATAAAAAGTTATCATCACTATAATAACGAATAGAAAAGTATAACAGATATTATAAATTAAAAGCAATTCGATTTTTATACTTATATATGTAATTATATTATTTATTAATAAAAATAAGTACAATACGAGTTATGATATATATATATAATATATATCGAAGAGTCTCGCTGAGTGCAGAATGCAGAGTGCGAGAGAGACAGAGCTAAAAACTGCAGTTTTGTGAGTCTTTTTCTTTCGTCTGTCATACAGCGAGATGCGGCCGCCCAAACTTCCCCTTCCAACGCCGCGCCGTAGCAACCGCCACGCGCCGGCCGTGAACCTCACCCACAACAACAGCTAGCTAGTTTTACGTTTGCAGAATTATTATTAATTATTATTTATTTTTATTATATTATAAAATATTTTTTACGTACTCGCGTTGCTGCGATACCGAGGTCTCGTGCATTTACATTATTACATACGTTATTTTACGCGATTTATTGTTACAAAACAACAGCTACGTAAATATGTACCTATTATTACTATTTTAATACTATAATAATAATTATTATTATTAAATAATTGTGTTATTAATATAAATTAATAATTATATATTATATAATTATAAACATTTATATTGTATTTCTATTTTTATAGAATTATTATTCACAAATAAAAATAATGATTAGAAAAAATGTAATCCATAAATATAATATATATATAATCCTCAGTATATCACAGTAAAACGTGCTTCGGAAAAATAATTGAAATCCTCAAAAAAACTACTTCGGAGAAGTAAAAAAGGCTTTCTGTGCGTAAGTTGAAGAGATTGGGAGAAAAGATAGAACTTTGGTGTTGATAAAGATGTGAAATCAATCTCAAAACGATATAAACGATATAAACGTCTAAGGCTAAAACTGGCGATCCGAATAAATTTTTTATTCTTATAAATATATAGATTTTACCGTACGTATCGAACAATTGCATAATTTAAACAATATTTCTATCAAACTTTTACACATCTCGGTTATTAATAAAAACCCAGCAGATCGAATTTGCAAAGAATTATCTAAAAACGCGTTTTCGTCCAAACGTATAGAAGTGAATAAAAAACATTCTTTGTGAAAATATCTAATTGTTGGTGGCGGTGTTGGCAGTAATACGTCCTTATTTTTATTAAATGTCGTATACGGTATATTCACGGTATAATGCATTTTTGTAGTGGTCGGGTCGAATGTCCAATCGAATAACGCTTGACGATTAATGTTTCGTGTAAAAAATTCAGTCATGAGTATAAAAACTTGTACGTAGATTTTTTCACCGCACCACATGGCTAACATTAAAAAGGTGGGCAAGTGGGTGTCGCTCTGCTGTACAGTAGGTTACAAGTGGGTCACTGTATAATGGATGATATTAAATTTGAATTCAACGATATAATATCATTGTATAAGAAAAACGATTCTGAGCGGAGACGGTATGTCAGTCTATGTATAAGACATATTATATACATATCTATGGTATTAAACAAAAAATTGACCTATAATAGGTACCTATAATAAATTCCAAATTAATCATATCAGTATATCACAATATCCATTAGGTACTGGTAACGCGTTATACATCAACAAAAACCGTGATACTATCATAGATATATAATAGTACACTTTAGAAGTTTTAAGTACCCACGAATAATATTATTCAATCACAACAAAATAACTAAAATAGTTATTCCAGGTTTTTAATATGTAATTTCGTCCAAATTTGAATTTAAAATGTCTGTAAAAA